TCTTCCACAGAGAATTTTTATGTACAGAAATCTAGATTGCATGTGAAATTTAAGTCTTTCTCTGCGTTTGGTACGAGGTTATGGAACTGTCTAAACCCTGACTTGCGTAAGCTCACGAAAAGAGCATTTAAAAGGAAAATTCATAAGTTGCTTTTGACTATACTTGGGATTGAGGACTGTTATGTTGACGCCCATTCACTAATATTGAAATTCAATACCAATGATTATCGAGAATTATAACTGTAGTACTTCGCTCACATCCGTAGATTACAATTCTCTGCTCTCTACTTTCCAGTCTGCTCTGCCTGTATTTGATTATTATGTCTTGTTTTAACTCACTAGTAATTTTATTGTATTTAATTTGTATGATAACTGTACGTATCTTTTAGCTTATGAGGTAGTAAACTAATGCATGGCTTATAACCCCAATAATATTGTAGTAATGAAATCTCTTTAGTTTACTGTCATATCTCTTTAGTTTATTGTGGTAATGAAACTTCTTTAGCTTGCAATGTGTAGTATCTGCTTATCTAGTACTAATACCCACCAAGACTAGCTAATGTTATATGCGGGTTGTGTAAATTTGCTTCTAATGTTCTATAAAATAATAATAAACAAACAAACAAACAAAAACAAACAAACAAACATGATTTGCTGTAAATTTGCTTCTAATGTTCTATAAAATAATAATAAACAAACAAACAAACAAACAAACAAAAACAAACAAACAAACAAACATGATTTGCTCCAAAATAATGTCGGAAGGGCATTCCGAAAAAAATACAAAGAAAGGAAGAAGGAGAAAGAGTAGTGTTTCTATGGCAAATACTAGGGTACTGGGTTAGTTCGAGCTGGACCGTAAAATAGCTGACTCTCGGTTACGGCGAAAGTTCATGACAAGCAGAAGAGCGCGCCTTCTCACTAAGTCAATTAGTATATATATTTCAGAAATTATGAAGATGAAGATCGGATCGGGAGCTTGGAGACTACCGTAGCTCCGATGAAGACGCAATGCTTAATAGATGTCTGACTTTCACACATAATACAGAAGCCATAGATGCCAAGTATTACAGAAAGTTGAACTTTAATTAATAGCTGAGATTCTGCTCCCCACTGGGAACGAAGTCAGGCGATTTGCGTTCAACGTATTTAAATTTGGAGGATTGGTACGAGTCAGTTACAAGACACCGACTGAAGAGGTCACAAGTATGACAAAAATTCGTCCAAGAACGTGACCCTGAATGTTTACTTGATAACACCTTTACTGATGCTCACAATTCATACAACCTTGAGCGACCTTTCCTTTGGAAAAATACATAACCACCAAAAGTTAGAGCGTGAATCAGTAGAAGAATATGCACATGTGTGAGAGCAGGGCATCCAAATCACAATTTCTGTCAAAGGATTAATGGAGAACAATTTTTTAGGCACCCTTGACTAACTTGTGTAACGTAATCCACATATTTATTCTGCTGAAAAAAATGACTTCAAATGAACGTTTATGTCTCCGTGCTATATACCAAGAGAAAACCAGGCACCAAAAATATACCAACGACAGGTTGGCACATCTGACGTACACAAAGTTATTGGTTTCACGATCCGTTTTGAGGGAAAACATTTTAAGGTTACTGACCTTACGCAATACACGTAAAATAAACACCTTTTGTTTGACAGGATCGCAAAAGTAACTTGGAATTCGTTTATCCGGGAGTTTACAATTCTGTTTCAAATCAAACGTGATACTCGTCTACGTGGGTTTGTTTAGGAAGAAAGTTAAAAAAACTCAAGGTAACAAATTAAGAAAAATATCTAGAGAGCCATTGCAGCTCCCGTAACTACTTTTATCCTTGCGAAATTGCCTGGGATTAATTACACCCTGACCGATGCATTCCCAACCATTAATTGTTCGACTATTAATCTGAAAAAGTATGCTCATTTTGAAAGTAGGCAGAGAAAAATTGATTTGAGAGAAAGACGGTTCAAGAACACTTACCCATTAAAAGAATCTGTAAGTTTCTCCGCTTTTAAGTCCAAGGAAAATATATTTCCCAGAACTGGAAGCGTCGTGACGCGTGGCCCGGGCGGCATATTCCTAAACTCATACACTACCATCAAATAATGTAGCAAAAAAAGCAGAAATAACAGAAGAAGAACATTCCCGAAGGTGAGAGATTCGAAAATCGTTTCTATCGAAACGGAGGCCATAGCTAGAAACTCCCGTGGCCAGCTAACAATGCTTAATACAATCAGCTGGTATTAAGCAATAGCGTTTCTTTTATGTAACCAAAGACACTGCTTAGGTTACTCAAGGTTAGGATTGCTGTCCAAGGTGAAGCTATCAGTCATTTGAATTCGTAATTGTCTTTACTTTAATTGCCTTTGTCGTTATTTACATGCAATCATAAAAATGACTGAGCAAAAATATTGAGCTGCGTAAGAGTGTTTCGTAATAATTGTTATGACGGCGTCATCGTTCTCTCTGTTCTATCGGCCAAAAACGGTGACATAGGACCGAGTCGCATTAGAGCGAATTTTAGGCAGGGGTCGCACTGTGGCCTTATTTTTTTTATGTCGCTTCATAAGTTGTCCCACAAATATGTCGCGACATTTACACCACGGGAGTCATGGAGGTCGCACTTGTGTGACATAAAGGATATTTGCAACCAGACTATCAACTCAATATTTCACGCGCGAGAAGAGTACCAAATAAAACTTTGTAGACATGAAGCTTGTGCTAGTTTTATGAGCGACATTTCTTCATTCTCTGTTT